TATATATATATATATATATATATATATATATATATATATAAATATACATACATAAATATACATAACAGCTATATTTATATTATTGACAACCATAAATTGGCACAGTTTTTAACATTAAATCTTTTGTACGAACGATATACTTGCACAATGTATTAATACATACTTGGCCTTTTTTTATTTTTTTTCAGAAAGATAAGCAAGTTCCATAATAAAGTAAAAGCTTATTTTCTTGTCAGATTTTAAAGATAAGCAAGTTCCATAATAAAGTAAAAGCTTATTTTCTTGTCAGATTTTAATGTAGTAAATTGTATTTTATTGTAAAGAAGATATCATTAAATTTAATGTTGAAACTTTAAAAATTCCACAAAAATCATATAAAACAATAAAACTTTTTTTATAAAAATACAATAATATCGGTAAAAAATAAATAATAAATTAACTTTCAACAAAAGACGAGTATCATGCTATTTACCAAAAATATTTGATATCAAATCCTTTGAAATAATTTTATTAATTATGACAATGTAATATAACAAGTATTTTTACCGTAAAAATATATTTTTACAGTCAAAAATAATGTACGAAATCTCACAATACATTTAAATTTTAAAATTTGATCACGTTAAATATATGATAAAATATGCCCTTATGATAATTATATGCCATTACATTATATATTTAAAATTTAATTTTATCTGACATTTTTTGTTAATTATAATTATAAATAAATTAATATGAATATTAAATAATTCTTTATTTTAATGTTTAACATTTGACTATATTGTCTTATTTTTGGCATTAATGTTAGGAAATAATTTAATAACATAATATTATACATTTCTTTACATTATTTTTAACTTTTGAAATATTTCCTATCTAAAATACTTTCTAAAAAATTATGCTCATATCTATTATCTATATCTATATCTATTATCGTTAAAATTATTAAAATTTTCTAAATATTTTATACCTTCTACCAGTATAAATCTATGCAGGAAGTTTATCAATTTACCAACCTGACGTAAAAATGTTCATCCTCTTCAAATAACTCGTCATCAATAACTGAGAGTTTGATAGTCTTTGTAGTCTCGCCAGGTCCAAAAGTCAGAGTACCCTTGGCACTCACATAATCAGATCCTGCTTCAGCAGAGCCATCTTCCGTGCAATAATCCACGGTGCAGGGTCTGCTGAGATCACCTCCAGCCCTGGAAACGCCCACCTCAAAGGTTCCAACGTTTTCCATAACGGTGTAATGACCGGGTTCAAAAAATACTCTCATAGCATTCACATGTTCGATATCAATGCTATCTGCCTCAGCTTTCTGCAATTCAGCCTTAACTTCGCTTAGGTCACTTTGCGCTCTTTCGCTGATCTTTCTACTGAGATTGCCGGCACCTACCATCTTTCTTGTAGCTTGCACTCTATAAAAAGCCCTGCTCTTAGGGCCTTTACCTAATACCTCTTCATGAGCCATGACTTCCAATTGCTCTAGAGGTAAAATAGGATATTTTTTGCGCAATTCCTTTAAAGTATTGATGTAATCTCTACGAGTTTGCTCAAATTCTCTTGCTTCGGGAGAATCACCATCGGCTAGGCGATCCACTATACCGTGAATACCATCTTGCTGAGGCTTAATGTCCAACTCCATGCCCATCTCGGAATCTCCGGCCTCTGCCTGCACGATTACACCTCGCTTATTCATTCGATAACCTTTATGCAGATACTTGTAAATCAACAGTCGTCGATCAGCGACATAAGCTGTCAATACTGTGGCTGGAAAGAAGGCAAAGGTCAGTATTCCTTCCCAAATCTCTAATACACCAGGACTAGAGACCGCCAGGATAACATAGAGCCACACGTAAGCAAAGATGCTCCAAGTAGCGGTGACGAAGAAAACACGCAGATGTTTTATCTTCCGGGTTTCACCATTAGGGATCACAAACACGCACAAGGAAATAATAACAAAAAGATTATAAGCGGCGGAGCCCACAATTGTGCCTGGACCTAGCTCACCCGCTTGAAAATTCTTTGCCCAAATTTCAATGATTGACAGCAAGATCTCAGGAGCACTGCTACCGAGTGCCATTAAAGTCAGATTGGCTACCGTTTCGTTCCACACTCGCACCACGACGATCTGCGGTTCTCTACCCTGCCGGCGCACTACCAATTCTTTTTCCTTGGACGTAATCACTTCAATGGCAGCCATAAAACGATCGCTAATGATCGATACACCAATGAACAAATATAATAACGCAAAGAAATAAACTACACCCCGGAAAATAATGTCGAGTAGATGTAAGTTGTCCTCCGGATGCCAAAGTGGTACCACTAACCCCGGCTCGCAGTGCACCGAGTAGTTTCCAGACATATTGTCAGAACTGTATATTGAAAATTGTGACTGAAAATTTATATGATCTAGTAATTTATTTGTTGTTTCTTCAAGAATAAATCTTTAGTTGTCCCCGTTCCCGTTTTTTATTCAAAACAATAAGCAATCTTCCTGTGATGTTATCTTGTCTCATGACTTGTCTCTGGGAGATAAAAATTCTAAAAATTTTATTGCCCCTTGATTGCCCAATAATGAGAAACAAAGTAGACTTCTTTATAGTTCTGAGAAGAGTGAGACCAAATTTAAAAATTATTTCCTTTCTTTTATTATATTTCCCTCGTGTATTCTTTATGATATTAACATTAATCAATATTAAATTTAAAAACATAGACAAATTCGATCTTCTGCATATGATACAAATGTGTTTGTTTTTATTAAAAAAAGAGAGAAAAACGTTCTGAAATTTCCTCACAGGCAACAATAGTTATACTATCAGATTGCAATTTTGTATCAGCCACAAATTAATTTTGCCAGCTCTCTTATAAATTTCATTTTTTTCTAATTAAAATTTTTGATGATGATTTTATTACTATCGGACTCTTTAGAAGATTTTCTCGCTATCTTGTCTCTCTCTCTCTCTCTCTTTCTCTGCACTCACGCACTCCCGCCCTTCTAACACCAGAGAGAAGCCTTCTCTCTGCTAACACCCTTCTTTTTACATACACTCACTCTCACTTCAGAAAGACAGCTAGAATTGTACGAATCACACTGGGAAAGGTATATATATCGATGTTAGAAATCCGGCTACCGATAAATCTCACCAATATTACCGCGGTGGTGAGCTTCCATCACGAAACGAACCCTTTAACAACACGGGGTAACAGAACTATACCGGGCCGCGTTCGAACGAACACTGCAAGAGGAGAGAGAGAAAGACAGGAGACTAGAGGAGAGAGCGACCAGACCGAGTGGGGAGTGGTGTCTGGAGATAGCCAGACGTGGCCACCCTATCTCCTCGCTCTCCTCCTCGCCCCCTTTAGCCTTCCCTCCTCTCGTTCTAGTCTTATCCTCGTCAGCTGCAATGCGCTGGCGATACTACTATCTTCCTCTACTCCACCATGCCGATGGTATCGCCGACCTTGTTTCGGAGGTATTTCCGTCCTTATCCACTTCACAGCATCGGCGGTACCTCCCTTCTTGTCAACTTTACAATGTGACGGTCCCTCCGTCTTTATTCACCTCATTGAACCAACGATACCTTTGTCTTTATCTATGTCTCTAGATCGGCATTACCATCACCCTCGTCGCATATTTCTATCTTCACTTACTTCATCACGCGTGTGTTTTACCCTCTTCGTCGACTTTACTATATCGCGGTATCTTGAAACTTATATAGGCAGTATCTCTATCCTCATCATTTGCGAAAAGATGCCCCTGCTTTTCGCATATCTCTCAAAGGCGTCTCTTTAATTTTGTTCATCATTATACTTTAGATAGCACAGTAATATCTTGTATTCATTTATATATATATATATATATATACGCAGAATAACAAGAATATTTATATCTCTCTAGCATCCTCTATTTTCTCTTTTTATTTGTTATTCTTTTTTTATATATCGAATTTATATTGCTTTTGTCAAATCCTAACGTTTTGTCTTTAACCTTTTTTTTTCTTCTTTCTGTTGTCTTTTTTATCTTATTCTATATTAAGGATGGCAATTGTATATAGGGTTGCCATATTAAAATTTTCAAAATTATTTATAAGCCAAAAACCCCGAACATTTCGGTTGCAATCCCGGACGCATATAAAAATGCGCTTAAATTAATAAAAACAATGCGCTAAAATTAATTAAAACAGTGAAATGAATGAATTATTTCACATCTAATTGTTCATTAACATTCAGAGCAAAGAGAAATTCGAACTGGAAAATAAATAAATACAGACTATTTTGATTAAAAATAAGTTTTATTATAGGTTTAGTTTAAGTTTTATTAATTTATTTTTTTATTTTAGTTTAAGTATTAAAATTAAAAAATTTTAACTCTTTTATGTGATACCTGTGCTATTTGGTAATGCAGAGTAATGCGAGAGAAACAAAATATTTAGCAGCTTTCCTGAAACCCGGACGCTTTCAAAAAATCCCCCCGGACGTCCCCGGACACCCTAAAAAAGAGGATAGTGTCCGGGAAAAAGATGGCAACCCTAATTGCATAACAACAATTTTCTGGTGTAATAAAATAATTCATAATAATGACATGTTTAGATAGATGGTATTAAAGTATATATTCTCTATATTCTCTATATATTTTTTTTTATAATATTTCCATTTAGAAAATAGTAAAGACAAGTCAAAATTTATCTTTCTTGTACACACACACACACACACACACACACACACACACGCGCGCGCGCAGTAG